TCTAAACCATAATGATATTTAATGGTGAAATACTGAAAGATTCTCGTGAGATCAGGAGTTAGACAAAGATAGCCACTACTCTATCTACTTTCATTTAATATGCTGTATTTCCTAGGAAATACAGAAATGCAAAAAAAAAAAAATCCTCATACAAAAGCTGCATACAAATACATGTGCACAGCATAAGGACTGAAAAGAAAGGAATAAAACATTGTTTGGGGATGATGTGGAATAATCAGGTAGAAGATCTAGAGAAATGGATAGATAAGTAGCTTAACCAGATTGTTGGCTATATCATCTACAAACAGAATTAATTGTGTTTTGTACTTCAACACATTCTCAGAAATTAAACAAGCATATAATTTATTTATTTTTCACTAAAAATGTCAAATATCCATGAATAAACCTAACAAAATGCATATGGTTTCTTCATAAAAGCTATCAAATGTAATTGAGACAAACTTAGGAACACCAAAACAGGTGGAGGGATATTCCATCACTATGCATTGCAAGACTCAATTTGGTGAAAATATCAGTTTCTTCTCACATGTCTATAAATTCATGAAACTCCCAATCAAAATAGGAACTACGATACTGTAGGATTTGGAAAAATTGATTCTATTCTTTATAAGAAAGTATTAAGTGAGAATATCAAGAATACTCTTAAAAAGTGATGAGAGAAGATATCTCATCAGCTATCAAGTTTTTATAAACGTATGGTACTCAATTAATGTGGTATTAGCACGAGGCTGTACTAATAAGAATTTAGAATAGAAAGCACAGAATCAGGCCTAATATGTATGGAATCTTGATTCAGAAAAATAGGGCCCTGGGAAGCACTGGGAAATAAATAGCTTATTCAATAAATGGGGCTGGGTTCGTTGATTATCCAGATGAAACAAATATTGAAATGTAATTCCTACCTCACAGTATTTAGACAAATCAGTTCCAGGTGACTTCTAAATCTGTAAGTGAAGGCCAAAAAATAATACAACCACCCCCCGCCAGGGTTTATAAAAGATCAGGAAGTAGAAGGACTTCTCAAATGGGTTTAAAAAAACATTAGCTATAAAAATTTTTATAAATTTGGATATATGAGATTTAAGAACATATGTTAATGAAAGGATGCTGTTTGTACATGACAAGGTATTCCACACAGTGAAAGGAGGTAATTGCAAGATATCACTAACAAATGGGTCAAGGTCAGACTGTATAACAAATGCCTAGACACCCATGTGAAGAGAAAAAACTCAATGGAAAATGGGCAGAGCCTAACAAGGGCATTGCAAAGAGGATTGCCACTCGACCTAACACATGTGAAAATGTTCAACTTCATTAGCCACCAGGGAAATAAAAAATCTAACCGTAAAGAGATACACTGTCACCAAATTAAGTTAAAAAAGTCAGGAGCACCAAGTGGCAATGGTGGGATTTTTGTGGATCAGTAAGGAACTTTCATACATTATTGGAAAAATTGTAAACATATTATATACTATGTTTGAATATATAATTATGTTATACCCTATCAATCCCACTGTTAAGGGTATGTGTGTTTGTGTACTAAGATACATGTAATGAGGTTGCTTTATAGAAGCATTATTTATACTATCAAAAGCTGAACCAAACCTGGGAATAGCCTAAATGTTCATCAAGACTGGAAGGGATATATGAATTGTGGTGAATACATAATGGAATTCTATACTGCAATGAAAATGACTGAAGAACAGCTACTCTTAAAAAAGGTGTGACATGGATATAAAACAAGCCAAATTAAAATTATGATTTTATTCATGTGTACTTCAAAAGCAAGAAAAACTAAACTCCAGTATTTGAAGTTGCATACTTAAGCATTAAAACTATACTCTAAAACAAAGGAAGGTATCACAGAAGTCAGGAAATCTTGACCTCTTGGGGAACAGGAAGGGTTTTTGGAATTGGAGGAATATATTAATTTAGGTGAAGGTCAACTGGTAACAGAGACCAAAACCCAGAGCTCCGAAAGACATGATTATTTATTTCTCACGTCATCAATCATCTGGACAGTCCAGGCTGGTGGAGAAGCTATGGTCCATGAAGTTTTCAGGAACCCACCTTTCTTCCATGTCTATCTACCTTCCCCTAAAATATCAATCTCACTTCTAAGTCAAGACTGAGGTTTTGCCTTTCCAGCCCTTGGGAAGGTGCTGTTGTTTGGGGTGTTCTCCAGAAGGTGTGTGTTGGAACTTAAATCACTCAAATCACCTGTTAATGATATTTAGAGGTGATACCTTTTGAAGGTAGTGAGAATTAGATGAGGTTATAAGAGTGGAACCTCTAAGATGCAATTAGTGGCTTTTTCAGAAGAAGAAGAGAAACCCAAGCTATCAAATTTGCTCTATCTACCATGTGATGTCCTGTGCTGCCTTGGGACTCTGCAGAATTGCTTTCAAAAAGGAGTCCCTCATCAGATGCAGCCCCTTGACCTTGGGATTTCCAGCCTCAGGACTATAAGAAATAAATTTATTTTTTAAATGAATTACTTAGTCTGTGATAGTCAGTTATAGCAATGGAAAACAGACTAAGACAGAAAAGGAGAAAAAAAATTCAGGATGAGCAGCCAAGTTGCACACATCAAATTTATTTATATCCATTGGTCCAAACTTGGTGACACAGTCATGTATAGCAAGAGCATCTGGGAAATATAGTTTAATAGGATAGAGTTGGGAGTTTTCACTGCAATTTCTCTAACTCGGCTCTATCATGTATATTGGGCAAAGGGTGAATATACCTTGCCTTTTGTTCATAGGCCCCTGGAACACAAAGAGTCACATCCAGGCCTGATGAAGAGAAATGTGCATAAGTTAGAGATATTGGTCCTTTAGCTAGCTAGACATTTTGTTAGCATCCTTGAGGAAGGGGTAAATGTCTTATATTTGGGAAGAAAATAAACCCAGACATTTGGTGGCCCAAGGAATGAGCTGGGGCAGAGAGAGGTAATATTGTAGTCTTAAGGAGGTGGGTGGCCCAGAGGTAGGAAGGTGGTTCTACAGGGTCCTGCAGTTATGAGGCTCCTTCTATCTAGTTCTGCATCTTGAACACAAAGCCTCCAGCTAATGGTCTGAGCTAGTGGTTCTACTCCATTCCCCTGGCAAAATGCCAGGTGTTATTTTGACTTGTTTACAGACTCTAACACTCCTGTCACCACATCTGCCTTCAGTAAAGTAGGAAGGCAGTAGAGGGGGAAGGGAGATCATGGACCTTTTATTTTTAAGATATTAGCTGGAAGTTGTGCATATCACTTCTGCTTACAGCTCTGCCCCAAATCTAGTTTCAGCAGGCATCTAATTGAAAAGGAGATTAGACAATACAATCTGTAGCTGGCAGCTTTGCATTCAGCTAGACCTTCTATTTCTGTAGGAGTGAACAAAGCACATGGAAGGAATGTTGCTAAGTCATCTCTGCCACAATCAACTGGCCATTGAAGAAGGGACTGAGATGGGGCTTTTAAAATAGAAATAGAAATAGTATCTGGAACAGGGTTCACCATGTTCACAACATTTAGAGTTCAGTAATCAGTAATCATCCAGATTTCCAACAGACATACACGTTAATTTATAAAGGAAATCTCCATCCAGGTCCATCACAATATGATTACTGCTGTAAGTTCCAGAATGCTTTAAGCACTCTTGACGATAGCCACTGTGATCACATAAGCTCCTCTGTTGTCCTTGGCACTTGGCACGGCACTGAAGCACTGTGCAGAGATTACCAATTAAACCAGTGAAGTTGGTAGTTGAGGGTCTTTCACAATCATACAAATGGATACAGAGGAGACAAAAAGAAAGTAGAAACTATGTCAGAATTATGTGAACCTGCTAGATATTTTTTTAGGAGGCATTTGGAATCACTATATTTGACGGCAAAATCCTATCAATACCCTCATACGTCTTTGGCGGTATACGGATTTCATTAAATCCAAGATGGTGGATTTTCCATGTGGCTAAGGGAATTCTTGATCCCATAAGTTACTCTCTCCTCACACTAAACTTTTGTTCTTATTACAGCCCTCAGGTCTGATATCCTTCACTACAGGATTTCCCTATATTCAAAATGTCAACAAGGCAAAGCACTGATGGATGTCTGGTGATCACGAGTGTTATCGAAAGTGTTTCTATGGTTGGATGTGACAGTCTTGTAACCAAGGCTTCACAAATCTTGGGTTATCTCCCTTTACTGATTCTCTATTTTCAACCAATTAACAAATTCTATCTACTCTACCAAACACCATCAAAATCCTTCTCACATCCATTTACCTTCAACTTCACTGCCACCATCCTTGTCAGGCAGCATCATCTCTTACCTGTACGATCATAATACCTTTTTGACCGGCCCTTTTCTTTCTGTTTCCACTCTTGCTCCTCCATATAACAAATGCACACTTTTCTAACTCCAAGTCCTATCTATGGTGCAAAACTTTTAAAGGGCTTCCCTAACCCTTAAAAATAAGTCTAGATTTCTGATTAGGCTTCAATGAGTGATGGATCTGGAAATTATTAAGAAATTCCCCCATTCAGGCTTCACAGGAATGGCTAGCACCAGAAAAATATGTGGAATATTTTTGTAATATTAAAAATGAAGGCTTTCTTATTCAAGAATCAAAACTCAGAAAACATAAGGAAAAACTTGTATATGTCTTGGGTCATGAAAATGAAAATGTTTTGCATGGTAAAAGACATTATACATGCAATTTAAAAGAAATTAAAAGAATACAAAAAGTTATAATCAAGGATTATTATCCACAATATATAAAGAACATATATGAGTAAATACGAGAAATACAACATCATAGGAAAACAAACATAGATTATGTACAGGCAAATCACAGAGAACAAATCAAAGATGAATGGCCAATAGGCACATAAATGGCCAATAGGCACATTTTAAAAATTATAATAACATATATCTACTGAGGAAAATAGTTAAATAAGTAATAGAATATTCATATTACAGAAAACCATAAGTCCTTGGAATAAGATGGACTTTTATTAAGTGAGAAAAGCAAGAACAATATTGATATGAACCCATTGGTAAGAATACATTCCTATGGGTATATATGTGAAATATATAGGAAAAAATATGAAAGAATACACACCAAATTATTCTTTTTTTTAAAGTTGATAGGATTGATCAGGGCATTCAGTATGGGCTAGGTAAAATGAAATTTTTAATTTATTCTACATGCTTTTCTAATGTTGAATTTCTTTTACAGCAAATATTTATATATCCACCTATCAAGTAATTCTAAAAACTTTTAAAAAAAACAACAGAATATGTTTGGAAGTCACTTAGCAAAGTGCTTGGTATATAGTGTTAATGATAGTTGGAACCACACAAACAAACAGTGTTAGGAGTTACCTGGAAATGTCCTTAGGGAATGTGCAGCTCTACAGATATCCCTTAATCCATCTATCTCCAACCCTCTTACTGCATGTTGATTCCTCTCTATTTGCTTGAACCATTAGCTGTAAATGTAACTTAAAAACAAAGTATATTTAGTCATTGTACTTGTGGATCTAGCACTTGGGGAATTTCTTCAGGTGCAAATGAATTCCATGCTTGGGTTTGAGGATAATGTGGTTTGAGAAGACAGGAGGCCTGGTGAGGTCTGGAGTCACTTTGAAGTGGAGCAGAATCAAGGCAATGGCCACCTTTAACTCCAGCATGGCAAACTGCTCCCCGATGCAGTTTCTGAAGACACAGGGGAAGAGAAAGTGATGCTTGGAGCAATAATATTCCACCTGACTCTAATAATTAATTTCTAGAATCACAAGTCTAAAGTTTATAGTAAAGTAACTTTTTCACATTAAATGCCACTGAAACTTTTGGACTCTAGCCTTATGTTGTTCCCTGTAAGAAGATGAATGGGAGGCTCCAACATGATGTCCTCCCTACATAAGACGGCAGTTGGAATTACCTACAGAATTGTTTCTTCTGCATTGATGATGGACTCTTTGGAGTCCATGAGCAATAGTTTACATTGTATGATCTCTTTCTGAGACATGTGAAGATAATTGTGTTATCCTTTGTGAAACTAACTGATCTTTTCAGAGGTTTTTTGTAAAAACCAATATCTGCCTCATGAGACAATGAGGTTCCATGGAAGAATTTATAGCGCTGAGGGTCTAAAAGGAAGTGACTCCTAACTGAACATTTTTGTATATTTTCAGCAACTTCATATTGTCCTCACCTTGGTCCAGATGAGAATGGTAAGAAGGCATAAGGGTGTCTCTGATCAGAATTCTCCTTTGTAAATCTCAATGGGTCAAAGATCTGCAATAAGAAGACAACCCCACAACCATCCCCAAAACAATATTAACATATTTCTTAAAGTTACTACATACTGCTCAACAGAAACAATGGAAACCACATAGGCAATTTAAAATGCCTTGGTAGGCACCTTTTAAAAAGATGAAATTACTCTTTATAGTAGAATTTATTTAACCCCCCAATTCTATTGTTCCAAAATATAATTAGTATAAATAATTATTAAGGAAATACTTCACATTGTTTTGGTACTACGTCTTTAAAGTACATATCTCAATCCTGATTAGCCATGTTCAAGTGTGCAGTAGCTCAGTGTAGGCTAGTAGCTGCTTCACTCACAATGCACCTCTAGACCTGCAGACTTTGGCTACCAATTGACTTGTCTGCTAGTCAGAGTAAAGGGGAAGCAAAAATATGACAAGTGGCATTATTTTTACTTTGGAAGTGAGAGTGCCACATAAATCCATAGTTATTAATTACCAGGACAGGTAGACTAGGTTAGAGCTGAAACCCTACTGGCATATGTAAAGACAGCACTGGTACTTGAGTACTTGAGTTTCAAAAATATTGAATTAAGGAACTCAATGCTGCAACACATCTCCTCTTTGCCTGTCTAGATCCTCTCTCTATTTCCCAGACTATTCTGGGCCCCAGGAAGCTGTCACACGTGGTTTTCCATTGGGTTTGGACAATAATAGACACTGATAAGGGCTCTGGAGAGCGGGAGGATAGAGTTCCCTGTATTTACTCCCTGGCTCCTCTCTGCCTGCTGCCTCCGCTTGGCTGCATCTCTACCACAGCTCCTATCTGATGGCCTTTCCCCTTGAAGTTCATTCTCTCCAGGTTCTGTAACCCTCCCTCCTGGGTATCATCAGGCCTAGAAGAGATAAACACTTCTGGCAGATGTCTGTTCTAATTTGCTTTTCCTAAACCCTGCCCACATCCTCATAATAGTTCCTTACAACACATTCAAATCACCCAACTTGAGTGTGTCATCGATTTTCTGCTAGGATCTCTATTGTTCCATCCTGCAAAAGAGAGACTGAGTTTCCTAAATAACTCTATTGTCAGGCCTCAGTCTTGGAGATATCTAAGTAAATGCTGGGTAGAGCTTTACAGGGAAATGGCTGAAATAGAAACTGCGGCAATTTAGAGGAGATTGTGGGACATTATGTCAATCTGTTCATTCAAAGCAAAGGTAAAGCAGGAGTGGGGAAAGAGGGTAAGTTCCCATTAGTGGTCAAGTTCTATTCATTTTGGAGTTTTATGTCTATTTTTTGATTGCTTTCAGCTATTTGCTTAAACTGTAGAGCCACATTCATGCTCAGCTGCCCCAAATAAATTGGGTAGCGTTTGTACTCTGAAGTGTGTCTGTTGGAAGAGAATCATACCTTTGGGCTTTTCCAGACAGCAGGGTTGTGATGAAGACCCCAAATACTGAGAACCACGGTGATTCCTGAGGCAGGAGGGAAATAAAGAAGAATACAGGAGAAAGAATAAATTGGACTACTGCTATACTGTTCCTCTGAAAGGCTTATTCTGGAAGGAGAGCTAGCTCCTGGCAGAGCTGTGTGGCAGAGCTGATGCCACCAGAGAGGGATACAGGGAAAGAAGAGACTTAGATTTATACCCTAGTTTTCAGAGCAATGATTTACTTAATTCGTGATTTTATTCTAGGGAGCTCTTGGTGTCATATCGAAATGTTAAACTATGCTTATGTTTTTTCCACATTTGGAAATTACTTAAATGTCTGTAAATGGAATATAAAGCACCCACTAGCAACAACTTGGGTATGTTAAGAACAGAACTATAATTGTATCATGCAGATCCAGTGGCCAATTTTTGTTGATGCAGTTCAGACATGGAAAATGGGGAATTTTGGCAAATATTCATATAGTTTGGGGATAAAAAAGACAAAGGAGAGAGAATTTGAGATTTATTTTGTTACTAGAAATAATTCTGGTAAATTAATTCTGGATCTATCAACCAAGTTACAGGAAGGTTGTAGGTGTTTTCCACAAGCAATCCCGTTGACTAGCTTCCTAAGGCAGTTAGTGGGGCACTAAAGCAGACAGTGAGAGTGTCTTGTGTAATCCCACTGCATCTTACATGCCCAGCCCAGAAACCTAAGCTTGGAGTATGGGGCGTCTGCATGAATTTTAGCTTTGCTTATATCAATTAACCTCATCTGTACATTGGGGTTCTCCCAGGTTATTGGTGACATCAAAAGTATTTAAAAAATTTTTTTAAACTGTAAAACACTGTAGAAGTCAAATTCCAAGGGGTGAAAATGAGAAAATGTTTGAAGGCCCTATGTATATTAAATGTTTCAAACTTAGGGTGATATTATGATGATGAGGCAAAAAAATAAATCCCTCTGGGCCTCTCAGAATAAGATAATGATGCTCATCTCCCATGAAGTCTCATCTGGGTCTCAAAATCAGCCTAACAAATATTATCTTAGAAAAATACCTTACAATGGGAGAAAGCCTGGGCTGGATTCTAGAAATGTAGGTTATGAGCTTAGCTTTGCAGTAACTGGCTACGTGCCTTGGGAAAGTCACTGAAACTGAAATCTGATCAAGGAATTATCCTCTGAGCTATTGATAGATGCCTAACCATAAGCCAGAGGCCTTGAGGGTAGAAACCCACCAATCATTGTCACTGTGGTCCCCAAGATCCCATGGTCTCTAGGAACTGCTTAGGAAAAGAATACAAAGACCTGCAGGCAAGGAGCGTCCATCTGAGAAGGTAAGGGGCTTGCTGAGTTCTCTGGAAATGGACGTGACTGGAGGAATCAATCGGAACGTCTCCTTGATGCACATTGTGGTGTATGACATCTCACCCAGCTGGTCCCTGTGAGGACGAGGGAGGGAGGGAAGGGTCTCAGACTTCATATCTGGTTGTATAGTTTCCTACCTTTTGTTTGTTCCTAATAAATACTACTCTCAGGTTAAAGCTATTTTGTCATGGGTTTATGTATAAGATCGTTAAAATGGGACTTTCCACCTCAGGATCAGGTGAGGTCCCAGAGGTAGAGGAAAAAAAAAGAGGGGCCACATACCCTCATTATATAATGAGGCGTTCATCTAACAGCAAAAGGCTTGCCAAGGAGATTTTTGAAAACCAATTTTGCAACCCTTAGCTCATCATATTGGCCATTTGGTAATGTGAAATTCTAGTTTTAGTTTTGAACATTTTCCTTATGCTTAGGATAAAAAAAAAAAAGAGTAATTCTTCTTACCCTGGCAAGACTGTATAAGGAATAATTAAGGATTGAGGAGAAAAGACTAGAGAAGTTTAAGAGAGAAAAAAACATCCTTTAAAGAGATTTGTTGGAATACTGGAGTGCCATGGAGAATGGAAGGGGGTGCTGGCCCACCTCCAACACACAAAGGGAAGCTTCACTAGGGCAACTCAGATGGTCTGATGAGTGCTCCCTGGAGTTTGGGGAGCACAGGACTGATACGAGAGGCTCAGAATGGACAGAGAGGCAGGGGAGAGCAGCTGCACAGTAGAAATGTGCCAATGTGTCCTATGACCAACAAACCGACCAGAGGGAGGGAGGGAGAGCTCCAGATTCAGCTGGAGAAAGGCTCTGCCCAGGACCAGAATTCCCTGGGAATCATGGAGTTTCCAAGAGACCCACAGATGCGAGAGAAAGGGAAGCATTAAATATCCACCAACCCCCCTGAACAGGATCACGGTAGTTACAGACCTTTTCCCCTTTTTTTTTTTTTTTTATTTGAATTATTTGCATTTTATTTTTTTTTATTTTATTTTTTTTTTAAATTTTTTATTGTTGGCTGTTCAAAACATTACATAGTTCTTGATATATCATATTTCACAATTTGATTCAAGTGGGTTATGAGCTCCCATTTTTACCCCATATACAGATTGCAGAATCACATCAGTTACACATCCATTGATTTACATATTGCCATACTAGTGTCTGTTGTATTCTGCTGCCTTTCCTATCCTCTACTATCCCCCCTCCCCTCCCCTCCCCTCCCCTCCCCTCCCCTCTTCTCTCTCTGCTCCCTCTACTGACATTCGTTTGTCCCCCTTATATTATTTTTCCCCTTCCCCTCACTTCCTCTTGTATGTACTTTTGTATAACTCTGAGGGTCTCCTTCCATTTCCATGCATTTTCCCTTCTCTCTCCCTTTCCCTCCCACCTCTCATCCCTGTTTAATGTTAATCTTCTTCTCATGCTCTTCGACCCTACTCTGTTCTTAGTTACTCTCCTTATATCAAAGAAGACATTTGGCATTTGTTTTTTAGGGATTGGCTAGCTTCACTTAGCATAATCTGCTCTAATGCCATCCATTTCCCTGTAAATCCTTTTCCCCTTCTTTTCTCCCCAGCCCCAATCATTCCTGGAAGAGTCAGAAAGAGCAGCTTCCAGGTAGGGGAGGAGCTGATCAGTAAGGACAAGACAGCAAAAAAGTCCTCACTCTCTATTGGCTTCCAGGCCCAAAGAAGTGCCAAACTGGGATGGAGGGAGATGCTCCAAGGGGATGAGTATTTGAAGGTCTCACTATTATACGGGGCTGGACAGTTTAATCATGGACGTGAGACTACTCTTGTGATTTAAATGGATGAGACATACGGGGCTGGACAGTTTAATCATGGACATGAGACTATTCTTGTGATTTAAATGGATGAGACATATGGGGCTGGACAGTTTAATCATGGACATGAGACTATTCTTGTGATTTAAATGAATGAGACCTCTATGCGATCTCAGGATTCTGTTCTGGAGATGAAAGAACTTGCTCCATAGAGCAAGTTTGAAGTGTCAGCAGAAGAATAAAGTTGTATTTTTAATTTGCATTCTAGTTAATCAGTTTGGTTCAAAAGTAATAACTGCGTATATTTAGTCTAGTCACTTTTTTGTATTTGTATTTTCTTTTCTTTTTTTAAGTATATTTTTAGTTGTCAATGGATCTTTATTTTATTTATTTATATATACGGTGCTTAAAATCAAACCCCGTGCCTCACACATGCTAAGCAAGCACTCTGCTACTGAGCTACAACCCCAGCCCATATTTTCTTTTCTTATTACTTACTGTGAATGCAGAATTTGTCCATTTGGTAATATGAAATTTTAGTTTTGAACTCTTTCCTTAAGCTAAAGATAAAAAAAATAATTCTTACACTGGCATTTTGTATAATTAAGAATAAAAAATTTGCCCACCTCAATCATGGTGCAAAAAAAAAAAAAACTAGGAAAGAATTTTAATCCAACATAGAAATGGTCTGACAAGGAGCCAAATGGAAAAACTTGGACAACTATCCAGCTTTCCCATAAATTGCTTTTTGCAGAATGATTGCAGCACCTGTCTAGAGGAATTGTAAATTCTCAGAATACCACATCCCAATGTCATTACTATAAATACATGTGACAGTAAAAAAAGACATTTTGTTCTTTGTAATATTTTTGCCCTTTGTCTCATTAAAATAAATGACAATTAACAGATCATCTAGACTTTGTTTTCTCAGCCAGCAGAGAGTTACTTACTCTTTTCCCATTTAGGCCAAACAAGAATGAGAAAGGGTGATATTTTAGTTGTATAGGTATTTACCCTAGTGAAGGTTAAAATATCTAAGGCATGTTGGAAAGTGATATTCACTGTTATCACATCAATGAATAAATAAAGAATGATCACTCAGCAGGATAAGAGAATAGGAAGTTCCCACAGCCATTCACAGGCAAAAGTGCTTTGTGAAAAGCACTACCTTATCTGATGACCACCATAAAGTTTACTAATCAAAACAGCATGGCACATTATCAAAAACCAACAGAACAGGTTAAAGAGCCCAGAAATATATCCACATATTTATGGACAACTATTCTTCAGCAAAGATGCCAGGAACACACGGTGGAGAAATGGCAGAAATGGATTGAGAAAACCAGATGTGCGTACGCAGAATAATAAAATTAGAACTTTATCTCACCCCATATAAAAAAATCAACTCAAAATGGATTAAAGACTTAAATTTAAAACCTGAAACTATAAGACTACTAAAAAACAAAAGGGAGAAGCTTCTTGACATGTCTTGACAACATTTTTTTTTACATATGGTTTTCTAAACACAGACAACAAAAGCAAAATCAGACAAATGAGTTTGCATCAACCAAAAAGCTTATGCATAACAATCAACAAGGTGAAGAGACAGCCTAAAAAATGGGAGACAAGATTTACAAACCATATATATGATAAAGGAATAATATCCAAAATGTATAATAACTGACACAATTCAGCATCAAGAAAACAAATAATCCAATTAAAAAATGGGCAAAGAACCTGAATACACTATTTCTCAAAGACATACAAATGGCCACAGGCATACAAAAAACATGTTCAACATCACTAATCATCAGAGAAATGCAAATTAAAACCACAATGAGATATCACCTAACCATGTTAGAATGGCTATCATAAAATAAAAAAGAAAGATAAACATTGGTGGGGATGTGGAGAAAAGGGAACATTTGTACACTATCAGTGGCAATGAAAATTAATGCAGTCCTATAGGAAGAAGTACGAAAGTTCCATTAAAGATTGCAAATAGAATGACCATATTATCCAAAAATATCATTTCCAGATATATATCAAAAGGAAGCAAAATCAGTATGTCAAAGAGACATTTGCATTCCCATCTTCATTGCAGCATTATTCACAATAACCCAGATATGGAATCAACCTAAGTGTCCATCATCAGATGAATGGATAAAGAATATGTGGCAAACATACACAATAGGAAACCATCTAACTCTTAAAAAGAAAGAAATCTTGGGCTGGGGTTGTAGCTCAGTGGTAGAGTGCTTGCCTTGCATGTGGAAGGCACTGGGTTCAATCCTTAGCACCACATGAAAATTAAGTAAAGGTATTGTGTCATCTACAACTAAAAGTATATTAAAAAAAGAAGGAAATCTTATCATTTGCAAAAACATGGAAAAACTTGGAGGACATTATGCTAAGTGAAATAAAACAGGCACAGAAAGACAAAGACCATATGATCTCAATCACGTGAGGAATCTGAAGAAGTTGAATTCCTAGAAGCAGAGAGTAGAATGGTGCTTCAGGGGTCTAAGGACAAGGAGATACTAGTCAAAGGATACAAAACTTTGGTTAGATAGGAGAAATAAATTCAGGAGATACATTGCACATCATGCAATTCTATGGTAGCATTGCAAGTACAACATACAATTTGTGGTATACTTGAAAACTGCTAACAGGTTTGAAATGTCTCATCACCAAAAATAAGTATGTAAGTTAATAGATATGCCCACTGATTGATTTAGTTATCCCACAAGTTATACAAGTATCAAAACATCACTTGCATATTTGTCAGTTAAAAATAAAAATGAGCTGGATGAGGTAGTGCATGTCTGTAATCCCGGTAGCTTGGGAGGATGAGCCAGGAGGATGGTGAGTTCAAAGCCAGCTTCAGCAAAAGTGAGGCACTAGGCAACTCAGTGAGACCTTGTCTCTCTCTCTCTCTTTTTTTTCCCAGAGGACACAACATCGTTGTTTTTTGTTTTTTGTTTTGTATGTAGTGCTGAGGATCGAACCTGGGTGGCACGCATGCCAGGCGAGCGCGCTACCGCTTGAGCCACATCCCCAGCCCGAGACCCTGTCTCTTAATAAGACACAAACAATAAGGCTGGGGATGTGCTCAGAGGTTGAGTACCCATGAGTTCAATCCCTAGTACCACCCCCCACCCCACCCCACCCCACCCCTGGCAAAAAATAAAAATGACTGTCCAATTTTGTATTTTATGCTATATAAATTAAGCCTTTAATTTGTGTTAAGAAATCATTATAATTCCTTATAAAATGATAGCTCTACTATACCTTTATAACTTCAAATTTTGCTTTACGAATATTTCAATTGAGCTAATCCTCTCATATGAAATACGATGTTTGTTTTCCTAGTCATGTGGCTCAGTGACCCTTAGAATTTCTATCTTTCTGCTCCTTTTTACCAGGCAGGATGAAGGGTGTGATTTATGTCAGAAACATGTTGTTTCTTTCCAAACAGCATATTTGAGGAGCAAATCCATAAACTGGATTTTATTAATAACAAGATATGCTTAAACCTAGCAAAGTAGAGTTGAAGTTTTCCATGTGGTTAACTTCTACTAATTCTAAGGAAATCACTTTGAGCCCCCATGCCAGGCTAGGTGCCTGTCTTCTAAGTCTCTCTGGTGGCTAGCACATATCTCTATCATTGTCCTTATCACGCTATATTTCAATTTGTTCTATGGAGCTCTGTGTCCGCATTAGACTGTGAGCTCACTGAGGGCAGAACCCACATTAAATCTTCCTACTGAATACCATGTTCAAAGTCCAAAGTCACCTCGAGGAATGAAATTGATGACAAGGGGATGGTTTAGAGTGTCCACAATGAGCCTTAAATGATGCAGCTGTTCATTCAGTTCTCTCAGGAGTCCACTTGGGCCCAACCATTCAAACTCTAAATGCTAGCCTCTGGTCAGGTCCTCATTTCCAATGTGCCAGAGATTGGGTGAAAGAAAGAAATGGGTCATTTTATACACCACTGAGTAGAAAAGCAATGACAATTTCTGGATGAATGAATTTTTGCAAAAGACAAGGCATTAATTTGGGGCTTTCTTGAGAAAGAATAGAGAAATAGCCTACCTCTTCTGCTTCCACATACACATATCACGAGTCACTGTCATTATTAAGGAACCAGGGCAAAAAATACAGCAGAATCCCAGGGGGAGACTTAGAATGAAACGATTAGGGAGGTAGATCTTACCAGGTGATGGAAGATCCGTCCCCTAGGATGCTCCTGATCTCTTCCCGGCATCTCTCCTGATGCTCAGGGTTCAGAGCCAGGCAGTAGAGGAGCCAGGAGAGGCTCACAGCCGAGGTGTCATGCCCAGCCAACATGAACGTGTTCACCTCGGACCGCAGGTCAGCATTGGAGAAGCTGTCTTCATTTTCAGCCTAGAATGTACAGTAGAGATGTTTTAATGAAATGTGAGTTTACAGATCTTTGGAGACCCAATTAAAATTAATGGCTCCAGGGGAAGACTTAGAGATTTAAAAAAAAGTTTCAATTTTTATTCAGTTCAACAAATATATTCTATGAGTGACACCTCACTCAGAGCATAAAGGAGAACCAACATTAGACAGGAAAAGCAGACTGCAAAGTGCTTTCCACTCATCAGGCCCAAGGAATTCTCTTCAGACTCCCAGATCTATCCAGATTTTCCAGTGCCAACTCCTTCTCTTTTTACATGCTTACTCATGTGACCCATTTTCCTTTGATTCCCTAAATTCTATGTATCTGTATAATCCCCAATCCTGTCAAATACATAATTTAGTCTTCAATGACTATGTCTAGTGACAGGTGCAGGATTCTATCCTTACCCCAACCTTCATGGAGCCAACCTCTCAATTCAAAGTACTGTTAAATTTATTGGATCAGCTTTGCTTTTTTCTCCACCGCATCCCCTTTTATCCACCTACACACATAGTTAACTGGATGATTAACTAGGCTAAGATATTTGGAAGATTTACCTGGGCAGAAAGGATAATATCCAGGAAATCCTGGTACTTTTTCTTTTGAGTGTTATCCTGCTTCATTCCAGCCTTGAGGGGTTTTTTTCTGTCCTGGATTACCTTTTCTGGGTAGAATAATATCTCTCCATTACCAAAGTGGCAGCAAAGTCAATCAAAGTCAAGTAAATTATAAAGTAAGTCAGGGCCCATGAATAACTTCAGATTTTGCTGGCTTTTCAGAGACCAGACTGGGTACATTACATTTAAGTTGATTTAATTCACAGATGACTTATTTTTCCATCAAATGGACAACTTTTGATCAAAGTTCCAAAATAAAATACAACAAACCAAAGATATAGTTTATATAAGTAGGCAAGCAATATAATTAAGATAATTTCAAATTTAGATTCAAATGATCAATCATTCTTTTTTTCCTCTGAAATATCATCTTCATGAAAATTATCAGGTGAAATAGAAGATAGGCAAAACAATGGAAAAATGACCAAGAATAAACAAATAACCCCCCACCTCCAACACATGCTTGTTTGAAGGGACCAAAAGGAAAACCCCAAAAACATATGGAACAGAGCTATAGTTAAAAACCATAATCCAAGAAAAATTTCTAGAAATAAAAAATTGAAATCTATATATTAAAGGACCTAGTCTCTGCCTGGAAAAATTGGAACAGAATGACCAATTGTGATCTATACCTAGTAAAAATATTTGACATTAAAGACAGAGGAAAAAAAATCCTCAGAGACTTCTGACAAAAAGATTAAATGAGTTTTAGGGAAGAGAAAATTGGGCTAGCTCAAACTTGAGACAAACAGTAAAGAAATCAAGACAATAGTAGAACATTTCCAAGAAACTCAAGGAAATGAAGTATGAGATAAATATTTTATATGTAGACAAACTGTCCTTCCAGTATCAAGGCTATAGAAAAAAACTTGTTTTAAACATGGAAGAACTCAGAGAATGTTGTGCTCATGAACCCATTCTGAGGAATCTGCAGAGATGACTACTTCATTAAAAGTGCAGTTGGTTGCTCAACTATGTCTATATACTTGAAGTCACTGAAGTGTACACTTGCAAAAGGTTAAGATGGCAAATGCTAAATTATATACATTTTACCACAATACAAAAACTGGCAAGCTAGACCTCTTAGAACAGTAAAAGGTTAAATAAAGAAAAGTAGGAGACTAAGGATTCTACAAAGGAAATAAATACTATGGTAGCCTCAGAACAAAAACATAAACATCTTTATACTCCATGTATGTATAATATGTCAAAATACACTCTTCTGTCATGGGTATCTAAAAAGAACAAATAAAAAAATTAAAAAATATAAACAACTTAAATATCAAAGGCAGTATATTTAAAAAGACCAAAGATTACATGCTGTATAAAGAAACTATATAGTGGATTCAATAATGTCTCCCCAAAATTCATATCTACTAAGAGCTGTGAAGGAGGCCTTATTTCAAAAATATAGTCTTTGTGGAAGCAATCAAGTTATGATAAAGTTGTATTGGATTAGAGTAGGACCTACCTCACTGACTTGTATTCTTAAAAGAAGAGAGGAATTTGGAAGCAGAGAGAAATCAACGATTTGAAGACAGGCAGAAATAATAGTGACGCATTTGCAAGCTGAGGAATGCCAAGGATCATTAGCAGACACTAGGAGGCAGAAAGAGAAGGCAAGAGCCTTCTCTAGAGCCTTCCCAAGGAAACATGGCCCTGCCAATACTTTGTAGTTCTAGCCTCCAGAACTGTGATAGAGAAGAAGTCTGTTCTAAACATCGGTTCTAGTTTGTGATCACTTGTTATGACAACTTTAATAAATAAATACAGTAATTATACCATAATACACACAGTAATGATAACGTAGTTATATGACAGCATTGTGACCATGTATAACAGTCATTTCAATGAATGAGAATGAGAATAATATGCTTATTGAAATAAAAAGATTTTAAAACTGGCTCATAAAATTAAATCCAACTATGTGCTGCATAGAAGAAACATACCTAAAACAAAGTAATTCTGAATGGCTAAACATAAAAGGATAGGTGAGATTATATCAGACAATCATACATGACAAGGAAACAGGGTTGTAATCTTGATATTGGACAAAGTAGAATTTGAACAAAACTTATTGAACAAGATTCAGTTTTTAGTACTAAAAGTCATGATATCACAAGACAATCGCTAAGAAGATATATACTTCAAGTAACAGACCATTTTACCTTGGGCTTGCAGGGTTGGGTTCACCTCCCTCAGCCGGGGAGTGAGGGCTGAGGTTGTAAAATGCTTTGTACTTTACTCAGAGTTGCCTTTCCTCTGTTTCTATGCATTTTAGGCTTTCTGTAACTCATTTATTGATTCCTGGAGTTTCTCTTCTTTCTCTCCTTGGAATAGTTTCCCCTTTGTGGCCTTGACTCTTGTGACTTGCCAAATTCCTCAAAGGGTTCTTCTACTAGGCCATTTTGTCTCATGCCCATCAGAACCAACTCTTTTATTACCTAAATAATCTATAATTACAACTCCCATCAGGCAGCACAAAAGTAAATCTGCCTGCATATGTTTAAGTCAAAGGCCTCCAGCGTAATAGGAAAATAACTTTGATGTGCAGAAATATTTTTGAGTTACAATTGACTATTTCCTGCTACTCACATATATTTTAAAACTTAAATAAAATGGAAATTAAATGTAACAAAATCGACTGAAATAGAAACAGAAAAACAATTTACTTTCATAGAAGAAATGGATAAAAATATGAAGGTGCTACCTACCTCTACACACACACACACACACACACACACACGGAGAAGGAGGAAAGAAACAGAAATATTTGAAGCAATAAATGACTGAGAACTTTCCAAAATTAATAACACCAATCCACAGATCCAAGGAGCTCAGAGAATGCCATATAGGATGATATAAAAAATACATATATGCACAGCATATTCAAACTGCACAAAACAAACAGGAAATCATTAAAGAAAACACAGGAAAAACACCTTATTTATAGAGGACCAAGCATGAGAATCACATTGGACTTCTTGTTAGAAGCCATGCAAGCAAAAAGAAAGTGTAGTGAAATGTTTGAAGTGTTGAAAGAAAAAAAAATCCCATTTTCTAAAATTTTGTACCCAGAGAAATCATCTTTAAAAATTAAAGAGAACTTTCTAAGGCATATAAAATTGAGTAAATTTGTTACAGTAGAAATATTTTGTAAGGGCTGGGGATGTGGCTCAAGCAGTAGCGCGCTTGCCTGGCATGCGTGCGGCCCGGGTTCGATCCTCAGCACCACATACAAACAAAGATGTTGTGTCCCCAAAAAACTGAAAAAAATGGGTAAATGTTAAGATTCTCTCTCTCTAAAAAAATATTAAAAAAATATTTTGTAAGAAATGTTAAGAAGAAGTTCTTTAGCAACAAGGAAAATGATACAGACCAGAAGTTCAGATCTGCCCAAAGAAAGGAGCGTTAGGGGATAAGTGAAGGTAAAATATAGGTCTTTTGATTTTCCTATTTTTAACTGAGCTAACAGATTACAGTTTGTCTCAAGTAATTTCAGCAACAATATATTTAATGATTATAGTTTCCAGATAAGTGGAATAAATGGCAAGTAATGCTATAGGGGACAGGAGGGAGAAATCGGGAATACTCTGCCAGAAGGTGCTTGCACTACCAGTGAAGTAGTGTAGTGTTACTGGAAAGTAGACTTGGATTAACTGTGGATATGTATGGCCACTGACAAAAGCAAGATGTATGATTGATAAGCTGACAGAGTAGAAAAAAATTAAGTCATAGAAAACACTGAATTAAAAACTACAGAAGGAGGGCTGGGGTTGTGGCTCAGTGGTAGAGAGCTTACTTGGCATGTGTGAGGCAGTGGGTTTGATCCTCAGCACCACATTAAAAAAATAAATAAATGTAAAAAAAAGAACTTTATTAAAAACCCACAGAAGGTAGGAAAAGAATGGAAGACCAAAGAACAAAGAACAAAAACAAAGAGTAGAAAGCAGTAATAAATCTGGTAGCTACTAATTCAACTATATATATCATTTATCTTTTTTAAGCACCAGTGATCTAAATGTACCAATTGAAAGACGGATTGTCAGAGTACATAAAAAATGAGACACAGCTATATGTTGCCTATAAGAAACTTACCTTAAATATAAAGATACATACAGATTAAAAGTAAAGGAAAGAAGAAAGGTAAACCATAATAAATAAGCAAACGAAGGCTGGAGTATTTATATTCATTCCAGGCAGAATAAACTTCAGAGCAAGGAAAGGTACCCGATAAAGAAGGTATTTTATAATGATAACGAGGTTAATTCTCTAAGAGCACATCAAAAATCCTTAATGTGTATGCATAACAACAAGCATCCAAATACGAGAGGCAAAAACTGATAGAATATTTGGATACTTCACTGTCTCTCTATTATAAATCCAGTGTAGAAAAATCAGGAAGCACACAGTTAAAACCAACAACATCATCTATCAACTGAATCTAATTGACATATGTGGAATACTTCACCCAATAAAGAAAAAACCCAGATGAAATGGACCAAATCCTTGAAAGATAAAATCTTCAAAAAACTCACATGAGAGACAGATTAAAATAGGTCTGTATCCACTAAAGAAACTAAATCAATCATTGAGAACCTTCCAGAACAGGAAAAAAAAAAAAACAGGCCCAGATAATCTCACTAGTGAACTCTACCATACATTTAAGGAAGAAATCAAATGAATTCTATACAGTGTCTTCCATAAAATAGAAGTAGAATACTTTAACTCATTTTATGAAGCCAGCATTACCTTCATACCTAAATAAGATAGAGATATTACAAGAAAACCACAGACTGATATCTCTCATGAACATAGATGCAAAAATTCAACAAAAGTGGTATTTACTCCAGGTGGGCAAGGCTGGTTCAATATTTGAAAATCAATCAATGTAACTTATTAATTAACAGCGTAAAGAAGAAAGAGTATGATTAATCAGTAAATACAGAAAAGCCATTTGTCAAAATCTAACACTTATTCATGTTTAAAAGAAATCCCAGCAAATTGGGAACAGAAGGAAAACTTCCTCACCTTGACAAAGAATATCTACAAAACCCCTAAGTGTATATCATAGATAATGATGAGAAACTTGATATTTTCAATGAAGTTAGGAATAAAACAATGATGTCTCCTCTCACCACTCCTATTCAACATCTTACTGGAAATCCTTGCTGATACAATAAGACAAAATAATATAAAGTATACAGATTAGGAAAGAATAAACAGAACTATGTTTATCCACAGATGATATGATAGTAGAAAAATCTCAAAGATTCAACAAAAAACACCTGAAACTAGTAAGTAATTATGACAAGGTTGTAGGATATGAAGTTAATAAATAGAAGTGATTTTTTATATACTATCAACAAACAATTGACATTTGAATTAAAAATAGAATATTATGTACATTAGTTCTGAAAAACATAATACTTAATATAAATGTAACAAAGGATGTGCAAATCTATTATGAGGAATGCTTTAAAAACCTGAAGAAAAAAATAAAATTTATCTAGATAAATGAAAAAATATTCCGTGTATGTATATAGATAGGAAGATTCAATATTGTCAAGATGTCACTTCTTCTTCCCTACTTGATTTTTTAGATTCAACACACTCACAATGAAAATCCCCAGCAGGTTATTTAAAAAAATTTTTTTTTGGGGTACCAGGGATTGAACTCAGGGGCACTCAACCACTAAGTCACACCCCCAGCCCTATTTTGTATTTATTTAGAGACAGGGTCTCACAGAGTGCTCAGCACCTCGATAAATTGCTGAGACTGCCTTGAACTTGCAATCCTCTTGCGTCAGCACCCCAAGTTACTGGGACTATGGCATGCATCACCATACACAACTGAAAATGTTTTGTTTTTAAAGTTTTCAACAACCTGGACACTTAATATTTTCTCTAATACTTTTGATTTTGTTCTTTCATCATAATTATACATAATGAAAATGTAAAGAATCATCTAAGTCATATGTAGCTGCCCTCAAATCCACTCCTATTTACTCCAATAACCATATAAAAGTTAATATTTTCTGTGATCCATGATGCAAAAACATTTGAGGACTATTGCTATAAAGATGTAATGCCCACCTGTATCTTAAATTGTTTCTAACCTGCTTCACTGAATGTTCTCCTTATAGTATCTATGTGTATATGTAAGTGTGAATATGCATGTATTGGTGAGTCTTGAAAGTTTCCTGGGGGCAAAGATATTTGATATAGTAACTATACTTTATATTTAATATTTATCCAGTGCCAGGTACCATCCCAAGTCTTTTACATTTATTAGCACACTCATCATCACCAGAAACCTATGAGATAGGTTTATTTTTAAATCACCATTTTTCAGATGACTTTGAAACAAAGCAGTAACTGTCCAAAGTCAGGCTGCTAGTTAATGATGGAGTCCATGAGGGATAGACCTCTGGGTGAGTATTCTCTATTATGATACTTATGAAAAGTAATGTTGAATTGCTTAAAAAATTTATTCTAATTTTTGAGTTTACACTTTGCTAACATAAACATATTTTTGAATTAAGCTTCTTTTGTGTGCATTTCCATGTCTACTCTTTCTCCCATCCATTCCTACATTGCATGAGTACTTTTAACTTATAATTATTACTGTAATAACTGCACAAAAGCTATATGTTATATATGTTTTTAAATCTTAAGTGTCCACTTATTGTGTTTGTATTAATAACTGCACATAATAAAAGGAGAAGTCCTGAGAAGACTAATTACTACAATGGATGTAGCAAACTCTTCTAAAGGACTCAAACTCTATTTCATTTGAGCAGTGTCCTTATAAAAGCTCCATTAAGAACAATAATTTTTTTCTGTTCACACTGAGGCTTATCCCTCTTGATAGCCACAATACAATTAATGATGATATATGGACTTGGGCAAATCAAATCCAAGAAATACCCATGTATTTACCTGTGTGTTGATGTAGCACTTTGCTTAACTCTTGGAAGAGGTGGCCATTAGGGCTGAACTTGAAAATTATGTCATGGTGGTGCCAGAAATTGTACATGCGATAAAATATAATTTTGCGGAGTTCAACCGTTGCTTTTACATAAGGATCAAGGGAGCTAGAAAATAAAGTTGGGACACTGTGTCAATAATTGACTTAGATAATGATGAACAAATATCTGTTTTGCTCTCCTGTCACTGACCCATTTATCTGGCAGTTGGTCTCCCGGCTGAAAGCACATTTCATGATTATGTCCAGGGCCATCAAGTTGATGTGTTCAAAAACCTCCATGGCTGTGTCCTGAGTGCTGCAAATCTTCTCCCACTTATCCTGGCAGAGGAGGTCAAGATCAACATCATCACTATCATCAAAATGCCTTCATTTGCAGTCTCCTCCCTGACCTTGCCCTTATAACATAAGAGACACAATTTTGACCCCTCAGGAACCAAAGTTAAGAAAGCAAATGAGCCATGTGCTTATTTTGTGTTAGAGTCTGTAAACAAGTCAAAATAACACCTGGCATTTTGCCAGGGGAATGTTAGAGTTCATAAACAAGTCTGGATGGTGCCTGGCAAAATGCCAGAGGGAGTGGTTTGAGAAGTAAGAAAAGAGAGCCATTAAGTGTGGAGATTCCTGATTGGTTGACTGATGTATCTAGTTTATGTTAATTAGATAAGCTGTGTGGAATGTATAAATACTGCTCCTGTCCTGTAATAAACGGCTCCCTCTTCTGCTGTATCAACGTGCACAAGTTGTTCGTCACCCCCCGGTTATTTTGCTGCAGCCGGACTGTGGCAATTTTGGGCTTGAAGAAGAAAAATATGCATCTAGCTGAGTGATAAAAAACATGTAATAAATTGCATATCTGGTAAATGGTCCTTCAAGTGTTACTATTTCCACATAGATCAGAGTTCTGTAGAATAGGCATTGCTAGTGCAGGCCCCATAAGTACAAAGGGTTTCCTTCCTTCACTTTCAGTCCCCAACTTCCTAGACACCCTGCCACTACTCTCAGCCACAGTAACGGTACTTAAAAGATACTTGCAACATTTTCAAAAACATTTTATATTCAGAAACTGGGCTAGAGAGAAGCTGGGCAGTGGAATAGTTGCAGGGAGCTGGCTCCCAGCCAGGTGCAACCTGTGCCCACCTGAATTCCCCCCACAAAGAGACCTATTCACACGGCTTGAAATGCTTTGCCTGACTTTCCCAAACTGGCACAGAGTCCCCAGTTGTAAATGTAATTGTCAATATAAATATTCTTTGTGTAAAAATGCAAATAAATGGAAATGTTTAAGCTCAAGTCAACCTGCATTTGTTGAGCATCTACAAGTGCTAAGCTAGTTCCCAAGGACTAGGAGTCTGAATAAAAGGTAGAGTTTGAAAACCTTATACCAAAGTGTCAATTGTTTAGTCAGGTAGCTTGAATCTGAATTAGCTACTTTAAAAAATATTTTAATTAATTTCCATTAGTTGAATCTATTAATGGGGCTCAATGTGATATTTCAACACATGTATACAGTGTGCACAATGAGCACAAATGTTACGTTTAGAAGAGATGAGAGCAAGAGCAGTCTTTGAAGTTCAGTGCACTCTGGAACTGTTCTGCAGGGGGAGGAAGTATGAGAGGAACTCATGGAAATGGACTGAGAAACAGGAAAGGCAGAAATAGCTCCTAGAAATGGAGGTTGAAATTGTGTTGGTCGCTGAGCAGCACCAGAATTGGAAGAGGGTGCCCTCTTCCCTCTCTAACTCTGTACCTGGTAGTCTTTGGGTCTTTGCCTCAAGGCCTCACCAATGACTTCACCACCATCCAGGCAGGGGTTAAATGGGATTCTGTGAACTTGGCTGAGAAGCCAGTAGAGGAACTGGAAACAGTGATTCCTTGGGAACAGAAATGATTTTGGAGATGATGGTGAAGGGAATTTGGCTTTTTGGTATTTGAAGTATTTACGATGAAACTGTATTAATGAATTATTCACCCAATTAAAAGAAATACAATTTAAAAATTAAAAGCTTTTTAAAAGTAGAGCTTGGGCACAGCTAACTATAAATCAGAAACGATCCCAGGAATGCTCCTCTGCAAAGACCTCCTTCTCCTTTGGGGTGTAGATCACCTCATAGTGATCCTTCACTATCTACAAGGGGAACTTCATATCCGGATTTCAATGAAGACATTTAATCCTCTGCTTAGTTCTTTATGGCCCTCATACAAATCCATTCCAACCTACAAACCTTTGTTCATGCTGACCAGCTCCATCTAGAACTCTCTCAATCATATTATCTACATATACACACATCTAATTTATATTTCATGGTAAATTTTAGTCTCTCTGGAATCAGAAGCTGCCATAGCTGGTCTTGGCTTTCTTACTTGTCACCTACAGCACTTACTGCATGAATATCACTACTTGGTACTTGGTGTATTGCTATAGAATCTCAGAATATATCTAAGTCAGAAGACTAGATCTTTTCATTATTATTTTAATCACCCAAAGAAAACAGCAAAAGCTTACACAAACATCTGTTTTTCAGTGGGTACTTATACATGGATTAATTTCAGAAATTGACTTTTGATTTTCACTATCCATGAAATGTATGCCTAATACAATTCCAGTTAGAAGCCCCTTGCAATGCAACAGAGCTTCACTTCCCCACCCTACTTACCAACATCGTATTCACAGAATGGGCCATCATATCGACATATGTTTTCAGGATATCACAATGGAATCCAGGAGTCAGTAGTCGACGATGCTGGAACCACTTGGGCCCATCTAGATTCAAGAGTCCTTTTCCTTGAGAAATAAAAGACATAAATCCATGCCACTTATTAGATCAGAGAAAAAGGAAAGATAAAGAATAGCATGGAGTGAAATAGTATAATATCAAAGAAGGGCTCATAGGTTAAGATGGTAGCGAGTTTTGTTGCTTATATCTGGGATGGATGAATTTAACATCCTGAGTTTCAAAGTCTGATAAGTTTCAAAGTCTGATGAAATGAGAGTGGTAATACTAAAATCACTATGTAGTAATTGAGGAAGTTGATTAAACTTTCTGAGGCTTATTTTTTTTCAATAATAAATTTTGATAATAAATACCAATCTTACTGTGTCATGCAGATTCTATGGAGATGTATAATAAGATACAAAACCTAGTCCTGCCCTAGCTCACAGTAGAAACACAACAAATATCCATCTCCTCTCCACTGTAAACCAATTCATAAATGAGTGAAATACAAATTCACTAGGAACTGTATTTCCAGATACCACCCTCTTGAGCCCTGGTCTATGAATGACACACATGTAAACACTTATCAAGGCTAATACCTCACCATAATCTATTGCCAGAGTGTTCATTAAGGATTTATTTTTAAAAGGACCTGAAAGTCTGAATGACACTATTCATTGAGTGCTTAAAATATGCCAGACTCATGATGCATAGTCTGGCTCTGGTACAATGTTGGGCATTACATAAAGTGCTAGAAATACACATTAATTTGTCTCATAACAGCTATAACAGTGATTCTTATCCTCATTTTCAAAGATGAGGAAACTAAGGCATAGAGAGATTAAATTACTTCCTTAAAATCACATTCAATTAGTCTACTGGTATGGGGGGCAGGATTCAAATCTAAGGGGATCTGGATCCAAAGCCTAGATTCTTTCATTTAATTCTTTCCTGGTCTAGCACACACATTGATTATATGACTAAAGAGCTTAATTTATCTGCTCATAGAATATTGCCAAACTGTACTTCAGAATAAAATTCATTGATTTGCATATGAAAATAAGAGAACTACAAAAAAAAGAAAGAAAGAAAGAAAGAAAAATCCAAGGAAACAAGAGAGACCAAAGGAGTCTCTCAGAGTAGGAATGGTGAAGCTACAATTTTAAGGAAAGAGAAGGTAATGTAGGTTAGATACACAAAAACAAAATATAGATATTCTGATTTAGTTTAAATTTATGTCTTGTTTGGAATATATTATATCATTTTCAGTTGCTTCATTCATATTGGCAATGTCATGGATTAAAAAAAAGCTTTATTAATATAAAGTGCTTAAAACAGTTCTTGGAATGCACATAGTCAATGAATGTTGGCTAAAACAAACAATAAAAATGTGATGTCTCTATTAAAACAAAAAAGAAATTGAGGAGACAGTTTCATCCCTATGATGCCTTGAAAATGGGACTTTGAGGAGAGAAATGGATGAGAAGGCTTTCCAGGAAGTTCTGAGTTGACCTTCAAGCTCCCCTGTGACCTTCCCCTAGATAACTCCCAGTATATATCAACCTCACTCTTGATACTTTTGAGGTCAGATTTGAGTCTCTGAAATGCTCTACCATGCAAAGGGGACTTAGTGGGAAAGCAGGTTACAAGTTGGCGCATACATACCAAGACACGGAGTCATGAACCTGTATGGGTACTGGGACTTGGGGTCTGCAGAGTCAAGCAGAGGAAACAAACAAAAGACAGCATTAGAGGGAGCACTCATTACTAGTCAGTGAAGGTTTTTTTTTTTTTTTTTTTTTAATCATTTGCTCGTGTTCACCACAAACAGGGAGCAAATGGGAGCCCTGGGAGGTGGGGGAAACACAGGTCTTGGTTCAGTACCAGAGAACAGCAAGTCCGGGGAGACACACAGATACCCAAACCCAGATTCTTCCCTCATTTTCTCTTCCACCAACAGAAACAGTGGTTGCCAGAGGATTGCCACATTTCCAGAACAGGAGTAGCACAACATATATCCTTTGTGAAAGGTATATTAAATATGAGACACACCAGCAGTCACCATAGAGTGAGATACGAACGCCTCCTGTTGCTCTTGTGACTCTGACATGGAGTTTCTTAAGAGTTGAACTTGAGACAAATCAGAGGAGGGGGATGGGAAACCTGGAGACTTTCAGGGAAAGGCTCTTTTCTTTTATAAGGTTTTACTAAGGATGAGGAATATGAAGAACAGTTAGAATATGAGACACTTGTTTTGCAAAGTTGACAGAGCAAACACTGGCCATGTTAGTTCTGTGCTATGCATAATTCACGGTGGAGACCTTGAAAAGGGGTGGGCAGAGGAGGCAACTGATTCATGGCCCCCAAAAGAACATAGTTGAGTAACATACATAAAGGTTAAAAAAAAAACTGGATCATAATCAAGAGGTTGGGCTGGTATTGGAAAGATATACATCCAGAATTATGTATTGAGCCTACAGGGGCGGGGATACTTCTGATTTCCCCTGGAGGCTTATGTTCTGGACAGATGGGAGTCGGAGTATTGATGAAAGGGAAGTCACAAAAATGAGAGGGGCAAAGGCCAGTCTGGTAATGACAGCTCAGCTTTAAAGGACTCTGGAGTTGGGAACTAGACTAGGGACTGAGAAGGACATAAGGAGTTCACTTGGTCAGAGTCCCTGCAGGTGGACACTCAGTATTATGAGGCTGTGACCACCTGCTGGCTTGTGTCCTAACCACAGAGTCAGAGGGGTCAGAGTCCTGTCCCCTCTCCACACTTGCTCCAGGGTATCATAAAGATACCCTGATACCAGGGTATCATAAAGGCTCCTCTGAATGGAGCCTCCACTGCCATGGCTAATATCCAAAGCCTTCACAGTATACTGGGCCCATAGGCCCTGGATTGGCCTATTTTGATCCCCAGCAAGCAGCAGAAGGAGGAGCTAGAAGCACACTTCCTGAAGGACCCCTTTCCATCCCTGGGTGCCCTGGTGCCCCTGGCCTCCCACCTCGGCCTAGAGGAGCAACACATGAAGAACTGGTTTAGGGTGCAGCAGTGTTCATACTGGTACTGGGAACCAGGCTGTCACCGCTTTGAATTCCACCCCTACCGGCCCTCGCAGCCCTCGTGTTCATGCTGGGCACACTCAACCTGGGCAAGCCCAACCTGGGCAAGCCCCCCCTGGTCTGGCTTGTCTTGTACATGCCCATCTGCCAAAGACGCCCACTTCCCCAGCCCAAGAAGCCCCAGAAGCTTCTCCATTGAGGGCCAGGCCTGTGGGAACCTTCCAGAGAGTACCCAGGAGAGTGTCCCAGCAGCAGCCTTTCCTGGGGAGCCCCATGGCTGGGGCCTCGGGGTATATGGCAAGCAACTAGAAGCCGCCTTGAAGACACTTGCACATGACCTTCAAGACATCCTTGAAGAAGAAGACAAATGGGGTCCAAGAGATTTCTGAATGGATACGGGTTCTGTACCTGCCACATTCCACAGGTCTCACAGGTCCTCATTCTGGCCACTATTCCATCTAATTGTTGTCCCCACCTGTCATTTGAGTCACTTGGGAGTGTGTCTGGGTCTCTAGGAGTGGAATGGGGTTTCTGGGTGTATTCCCTTCGTGCTTCCCCCCACCCTGCAGGTGGACACTCAGTATTATGAGGCTGTGACCACCTGCTGGCTTGTGTCCTAACCACAGTTTTCCCTCATGAATAAAACCCCTCGTTTTTTGTTTTTTTTTAAAGACCCAGTACTAATCTCTGCCTCAGTTCCTGCTTGTGGGTCATGTCCATCTCACTCCTAGGAGGATTTGCCTCTTGTCTTACCTGTTCTGCTCAGAAATGTCTTTGCATAGTCTGGGTCATAGATAAAGAAAAATGCCTGAAAGGGCCCAACCCAACAAGGGAAGGCACAAGGATACTTTTCAACAGTCTCCTCAAGCTTCTCCATTTTATCTTCCTGAAGAAACTGCAGGGAAGAAAAGAAGAAAAAGAAAAAATAAAGTAAAGGAAATTAGAGAACTGGCTGGACTTGTCCTGTCTCAATAACTTCCTTAACAGGACTGCAAAACTCAGGAAATAATACCAAGGACTAACAAATGTTATGGCATCAAACTGAAAAGAAGAAATAAGTGTGTCAAGAGAGAAACTACAGAATGGGAGAAAATCTTTGTCAGTTACTCTTCTGACGGGGGATAAATATCTAGAATATATAAAGAATTAAAAAAAAAACTAACACCTCCTGAAAAAAAACCAAGTAACCCAATTAGTAGATAGACAAATGAATGAAACATATTCCTCAAAAATCAGAAATAACAATGGACAAGAAATATCAGAAAAAATGCTTGACATCTTTAGCCATCAGGGAAATACAAATCAAAACTTTATTGTAATTCCATCTCACTTCCATTAGAACTGCAATCATCAAGAATACCAATAATAATAATTGCTGGTGAGGAAGTGGCAAAAAAGAACACTTACATTTTGTTGGTGGGATTGTAAATTAATATGTCCACTAAGGAAATTATTATGGAGGCTCCATAATAATTTATTTCTAGTCAAAAGACTAGAAATAGAACCACCATATGGCCCAGCTATTTCACTGCTTGATATTTATCCAAAATAATTAAAGTAGCATACTATAGCTATACATAGAAAGAAGTGCATATATATGCCATATATACATATGTAAAGAAATAAGTGCATATATATATACCATATATATGTATACTATTTTTTAGCATTATAGTTATACATAGTAGTTGTGTTCATTTTGACAAAATCATACAAGCATGATATTTGATTTATTCCATTTCAATCCTTATTTCCCCCACTTTCCCTTCCATCCTCCCTTTCTCTATTTTCCTTCCTTTACTAATCTTCCTTTGCTTGTTTATTTATTTTTGATTGTTTGCTTTCTATATAATTTATATATACTATATATATACTATTTATATATACTATATATATAATATATATACTTTCTATATATATATATATATATATACTTTCTATAAATACTATACATACTATACTTGAAATTCACTGTGGTATATTTATACATGCACAGAGCATGACTTTGTTAAGTTTATTCTGCTTTTCTTCTCCTTTCCAGTCCTTCCTCCCTCCATTTCAATTTCCTTCTTCTTCTCCACTGATCTTCCCCATATCCTTATGATAGCTGATCCTTCCTTTTTTCCCCTTATTGTGTTCTAACTTCCCTATGTGAAAGAAAACATTTGACCTTTGATTTTTCTGAATCTGGCTTATTTCACTTAGCATGATGTTCTCTAGTTCTATATATTTACTGGCAAATGCCATGATTTCATTCTTTTTTATGGCTGAGTAAAACGTGTGTGTATGTGTGTGTATCACATTTTTTTAATCCATTCGTCTATTGACAGCATCTGGTCAGGTTCCATAATTTGGCTATTGTGAACTGTGTAGCTATAAACATTTATGTGGCTGTATCATATAGTATGCTGATTTTAGTTCTTTTGGATAAATACTAAGAATTGGGATAGCTGGGTTCCTTTCCTAGTTTTTTGAGGGGTCTCCATACTGCTTTTCAGCGTGGTTGTATTAATTTTCAGTCCTTCCAACAATTGCATATTTACGTTTATAGCATTGCAATTCACAACAGCCAAGTTAGGGAAGCAGCCTTAGTGTCCATCAATGGACAAGTGAATAAAGAACATGATATAGATACACATGGAGTTACTCAGCCATGAGGTAAGATAAAATCATATCACTTATAAGAAGGAACTAGAAAACATTATGTGAAGTAAAATAAGCCATACTCAGGAAGTCAAGGGCCATATGTTTTTTGTTTTTTTTTTTCTCACATGTGGAAGCTAGAGAGAGAGGAAAAAAAAAGGTGGGGAGGGGCGGGGTTGGAGTGGAGAGGAAATCTTATAAAAATAGGAGGAAGACCCTTAGGGTAGAAGAAAAGGATCAGGAAGAGGGAGGTACTGTGGAATGAAATTGATCAAATTTTGTGCATGTATCAATATAACACTATGAATCCCACTATTGGGCTGGGGATGTGGCTCAAGCGGTATCTCGCTCGCCTGGCATGCGTGCGGCCCGGGTTCGATCCTCAGCACCACATACAAACAAAGATGTTGTGTCCGCCGAAAACTAAAATAAATAAATAAATATTAAAATTCTCTCTCTCTCTATTTAAAAAAATGAATCCCACTATTACATATGATTATAATGCAGTAATAAAAAACTAAAGGAAAAGAAAAAGGAGTTGGGAGGGGATAGAAGAGGAAGAAAAAGAGAGAAGGTGACTATATGAGATGATGGAAATGCTAATTTGTTTGACTATATTAATCTCCTTACTATTCTTATGCCTATCAAGATAAATATATTAAAACATCATTTTATTAACCTTAAACATATACATTAAAACCTGAAACAAAATAATCAGAAAATTTTCAGCATTTTCAATAGTCATCTTGAAAGGTAGAGACAATGAAATAATGCCTTCAAAATTCTGAGAATAAACAATTTTTTTCTTTTTTTCTTCTGGTACCAAGGATTGAACCCAGGGGGCTAAGCCACAGCCCCAGCCCTTTTCTATATTTTATTTAGAGACAGGGTCTTGTTGATTGCTTAGGACCTTGCTAAGTTGCTAAGGTTGGCTTTGAACTCATGATCCTTCTGCCTCATCCTCTGCAGCTGCTGGGATTACAGGTATGAGCCATCTCCCCTGGCTTGGGAATAACCAATTTCTTCTTTTTTTAAGTTGTAGATAGACACAATGCCTTTATTTTACTTTTATGTGGTCTGTGGATAGAACCCAGTGCCTCACACATGCTAGGCATGCGCTCTGCCACTGAGCCACAATGCCAGCCTTGAGAGTAAATAATTTCTAAAGAATTCTATACCTAGCCAAACTTAATTCCATTCATGTTTGAAATTAGAATGTTTATAGCCATTTAACAGCTCAAAAAAAAATCTTTCACTCATTCCCAAGAATCAAACCATAAAAATGATGAAATAAATAGGAAACAAAAGAAGCCATACTGACCAGGAGACATGAGATGTGACACAGGACAGCATCAATAGGAGGTCCTGGAACAACAGCTACGTACCAGGCCTAACTGGATTCGAGCGGGAGGAGAGGGCTGTGGGAGAAATGCCTCCAGAAAAGCATCTGGCCTGATAGATTACTTGGTATATTTTAATATTTGAAAATACTGAGATGTGTGTGATAGCCCTATTAAAGCTATTTCCATAAAAAGCATAACAGATATTGAAAATCTAAGCACATGGGAAACTGAGGAAGTTAGCCATACTATAGGGGAGGGAGCTGTAGTAGAAAAGGGTCAAAATCAGCCTGGACCATTTAGATCAGCAGTAAATAGGATTCACACAACCAAAATAATATAGAACACCAAAGAAAGAAACTGAATAAGACATTAGAAGATGAAAACCTACATGCCCCACCCGTCCTTTTAAGATTCTGCACAGCCCTTCACAGACATTCTTTCCTCTCCTAGGAATTCTCCAAGACTCTATGAGCCTCCATTGAAGCACTTTCTACTTTGTATTTTCACTTCTTTTGGTGGCCTAAGTCTGTACCTGACTTGGGCCCCTTGAAGGTAGGGGCCCATTTTGTTTTTTGTAATTCTAGTATCTATCACACAAATGCCACTCAAAATTGGTTGAATTAAAAAAAAAGAAAATCAGGACTGGGAGCAGATTTAGAGAACAGGAGAGACCCAAAAGCAACAGTCTCCCTCTTTATTTGATAAATTTCAATCAATCATATTTCTTGAGAGGTTGGCTGGGATAGCTCCCTGCTTCACAAGAATCTTAGGAAAAGAAAGTTAATTTTCTTTGGTTAGAATGGACTAAAGGGTGCCAACAATTGTGTTTAATGTTGCACATTTTATGCAATTAATAAGTATTGTTTATAATAACATACTATTTTAAACAATATATGTGGAAGGCATTTTACAATGTAGTACCTATATACATGGAAGAGATGGGTGAAGCAATTGGCGGTTACCCCTCGCTTTTTCAATAGCTCCCTCCCGATCCCCCACTGTTTCTTCTCTAATGACCTTTCCCTGTGGGGCTGCTGAAAAGGTGCTGAGAGTCACAGGCTGAGCTGGGGGCTCCGTGCAGGACCGAGGGTCTGGAGATAGGAAAAGCAGCAGACGCCTCGCCATCCGCAGGCTGTCTCTGGCACCCACCTACGACCCCTTCCCTTCCAACTACCTTCTGGTGCCCGTAGAACCAGTGGGTGGGAGGCGCCGGGAAGGGGCGGAGGTCTCGCAGCAGTCGCTGCCTTCGTAGGTAGAGTTTGATGGTCTGCAGGAGTCCCAGGGCCAGGCAGAACACGAACGCCAGGTATAAAGGCCGCGCCCATCGCGTTTCCAGCCAGGAGGCCTCCATCGCTCTGCGCACGCCAGGCTCACTAGCAGGCTCCAGGGACCGGGAGGGACGTCGTGCGCTTTCACCAGCCCAGAGCTGGCGAGCATCACTCAGGCTGTCGCCTCTCAGCCCTGCATTTCCCGGGGAAGGAGAAAGGGCGGTGGGAGGGGAGGTTCAGGCCGGGGAGAGGAGGCAGGAGCGCGTTCTTGATTCCTAACCCTTTATCCACTGATGCGCATCTTGCTTTAGGCGAATTTCTTTCACTGTTCTGCGGTGTAGTATTTCAATCATGGAAGATCCGAATTTAGATTTTGAAATAACGCCTAGGCTGAGCTAATTGTTTTTTTCTATTTGTCATCAATAAATAATAAGCTGCTATGCAAAAAGACCTTCCTTCCCACTCTGGAATCCTATCTAAAGCTACAGGCGCTGGAGTGGGGGAAGGGAGGTGTATGATGATTTTATGTATGTCATGTGGGCTTATAGAGAGTGTGCTGATGAATGTTTTACAATTGCTTCTCACGCCGATTTGTGACTAGTACCAGCGTCTACAATGTTTCATACTGTGGATATGAGGGCACTGAATCCTGAATTGGAAAGAGACACAAAACAATACATCATCATATAGTATTTCCACCATTCAGATATAATCAGGGCTTACTACATAATTTATGGCTCTCAGTTCAAAATAAACATAGGATCAAAGTTTTATTAATTTTCAGATAACAGAAAAACTTTAAACCAAGCAAATGCCCTTCAAAGTTTAGGGTCCTGGGTACTGTTCAGGTCGCAGTCCATGAAGTTGCCAGCCCTGGATGCAAGAAACAACCTCAAGAGCACAGAAAATAGTAAACTGTTAAATACAGTCAGCCCTTCATAGAATGTGGCTTGTTGTACAATAATTAAAGAAACAGTCAATGACTTTTAGAATGCTTTAACCAACTACCAGATATTCTCACCCCTTCTCAGTACTCTAGAGAATGTCTTGTGTTCTCTTCATTCTTTTTTATGTGGAATTTTTATATTTTAAGTTTTAGTTACAGAAGACATTAGAGTCCATTTTGATAAAATTATACATGCATGGAATTTATCTTATTCTAATTAAAGCCCAAATCTTGTGGATCAAGGGTTTTAAACATAGTTTGTTGAAAGCCTATTCATTCAACAAATATCGATCACTTATAACACATGAATCAGTGTTCTCAAAGCTGGAGATAAAGCAGTGAGTAAAATACCATCTTTGCTGTCACAGTGCTTCTGTTTTTCTGCCCTTTGTACCTGGATCCTAAGCTATGAGCTGATGGGTGCAGAATTATTCAGGGTCCAACTGCAGCTGTAACCAATGCTGAAACCAGTTTCTACAAGCAAGAGTCTGCTGATACATGTCAAATATATGATATAATATATGTACAGTAAATCCTCTGTGGATTGAAAATATTTTTAAAAAATTGCATCAGTACTGAACATGTACAGACTTTTTCTCTTGTCATTATTCCCTAAGCAGTACAACAATTATATACATAGCATTTACATTGTATTAGGCATTACAAGTGCCCTAGAGATCATTCAAAATATTCAGGAGGACGTGGTTAGGTTATATGCAAATACTATGCCAGAGACTTGAACACCTGTAAATTTTGGTATCCTTCCGGGGGAGTTGGTCCTGGAACCAATCCCCCATGAATACTGAGAGAAGACTGTAATTACAAAGTGTGAGTTTTTAGAATTTATTTCCTATTAGATGGTGAACAAGGATTTTACAGGCCCCAGTTTCTGTCCCTCCTCTCAGCCTTCTTTGTAGGTGTTGCCCATCATCTATTCATTTGTTCATTTACTTATGCGAAGGCAGGCATGATTCAGATGTTGGATTTACAGCCCTGAACAATAAACCCAATTTCCTCTATAGCTTCCTATTCTCTTCTCTGTCAGTACCCACCCCATCCAACTCTCCTCCCAGTCTTTGGGATTTTATTTGGTAGGTACATGGTTAAAACAGTCTCTAAGGCTGGTAACTTCATCCTGGACCAAGTTCTGGCCTCTTGCATATTCCATTATACCATATCAGTAAATGTTCCAGCTTCCCCAGACCTTTCCACCTCCTGCCCACCTCCATCCCTCAATTGGATATTGATTATAGTTGTTTTTAAATATATATTTTTTGTTAGACATGGACACAATATCTTTATTTTTATTTATTTTTTTATATGGTGCTGAGGATTGAACCCAGTGTCTCACATGTGCAAAGTAAGTGCTCTGCCACTGAGCCACAATCCCAGCCCTGGACATTGATATTTGAGAGTGTCTGAGAATCTTCTGGTTTAGTTTCTTCTGGGTAACTCAAGACACCTTAGTATCCTGCTTCTTGCCCAAACCATGATGGGTATATGGTGACCTTCATGTGACCACATGGTGATCCTGGGCTAAAGACCTTAGATCATTGTTCTACCTCAGCGTCCTGAATATGCTCTTCTTCATGATATTTAGCCTTGTCTGGTCCTTGTGTCCCTTGTGCTGACTGGCTAATACAGGGTGTGACTGGTGAACTTCTAGTTAGTCCTCAGGGTCACAGCTGGTCCCACCCAGGCTCTTGCTGGTGGTATGAATTCCTCTGAGGTCTTAGCAGTTGATGAAGTAACCCCTCTGCTCCAGGGTCAATTTCTCCCACCCAGAATCACTCCCATTGTTCTTTTGGAGGTAACAAAGTTACTTTGTGACTTTTTGCAGTGTACACAAGTAGCCTATGAGAAGCTTGAAGGTGTTAGCTCAGGTCTTCTCTCTCCTTCACTCCACTGTCACTCTGGTTCCTTCCCAGAGGAAGCAAGTCAAAAATCTATGCTTTTAACTTTTCCTTCTATCTATCTTCTATAGTTTGGATGTTTAATGTTCCCAAAAGGCAGTGAGCTGTGGGGTGAGAGTCCCTGAAAGCAGTCCCCAACAAGGCCACGTGTAATGGAGCCATAGAAACAAAGCCAAAGCTGTAATGGAGAACCAAGGAAGGAGGTGGTACCAGGGTGTGTGGCACTTGTAAAGGGAATCTACGGGCAGTGTGCAAAGCCAGCCTGAGAATGTGGCCATGTGGGTTGGAACTAGCAAGGCTGCAGGGCTGTTCAAGCCTTTGGGAGCCCACCTTCTGTCACAGTGTGCCATGGATGTCAGACAGGGAGCTTTAGGATTTCATGTTTGCCCTGCTAGATTTCAATCTTGTTTGAGTCTGATCCGTCCTTACTGTTTTCCTATTCTTTTTTTTTTTTTGAGATAGATAGATAGAGAGAGAGAACCTTTTTTTTTTGTAAATGGACACAACACAATGCCTTTATTTTTTATGTGGTGCTGAGAATCGAACCCAGGTCCCACCCGAGCTAGGTGAGCGCTCTCTACCGTTGAGCCACAATCCCAGCCCTGTTTTACTATTCTTTGTTAATATTTACTTTGTGCCTGTGTGGGACAGGCATTGCATTTTGGAATTATATAAAATGTTTCTTTTTTATTTACATAGGAACTCATAGCTGACTTTGCCTTAGGTCTCAGAGGAGACTTTAGACAGACTTTTAAAAATATTTATTTATTTTTAGTTGTAGGTGGGCACACAATATCTTTATTTCATTTTTATGTGGTGCTGGGGATCGAACCCAGTGCCCCACATGTGCTAGGCAAGCACTCTACCACTGAGCCACACACAACCCCAGTCCTAGACGGACTTTTGGACGTTGCTGTAATAGTTTAGATTTTAGGGACTCTTGGGTTAGAGAGTGCATTTTGCATTGTGTAAAGGTGTGGTCAAGGAGGGTGCAGTTGCTAGTATTAATATAAAGAAGCCAAGATAGATATGAACCCCAAAATATATATGAAACTTTAGAGACATTGAGAGGAATGATATGGCTTGGAAGTTGAATGTCCTACAAAGATCTGTGTGTTAAAGACTTAGTCTCCAAGGCTGTAATATTGTGAGATGCTGTGAACCTTTAGTAGGTGGGGCCTAGTAGAAGGTCTTTAGGTCACTGGGTGAATGCCTTGAAGAGATTGTAGAACTCTGTCTCTTCTTCTTTTTCTTTGCTTTCTGGTTCATAGGTGAGCAGTTTGTTCTTCCATTTATTTCTTTTTAAAAAAATATTTATTTTTTAGTTGTTGGGCACAATACCTTTATTTTATTCATTTATTTTTATGTGGTCCTGAGGTTCTAACCCAGGGCCTCACACATGCTAGGTGAACGCTCTACCACTGAGCCACAACCCCAGCCAATGTTCTTCCATGTATTTCAACCATGATGTGCCAACTCACCAGAGGCCCAAAGAATTGGGGCTACCTGATCTTGGCCCAGAAACTAAAGAACTGTAAGTCAATAGTCCTTTTCTCTTTATAAGTTACTTGATTCAGGAATTTCATTATAGTAACTGAAAGCTGATATAATATACTGTCCAAACCTCCATTTGCAGGATTTTAGTCTCTATGGGAAAAAGAAACCCTCCTATCTCTAAATACCTGACCTTTGCCTCTCCTTACCTTACTGCAAGAGGTGTACTTTTTCCTGCCATCTTCATTTCATGTGATAGGAAATGTACTTTTTCTACGTGTTCACTCTGTCTCTTATTGAGAATGAAGATCTATAAGCTACTCCAACAGGGCATGCTAATGGAAGATAAATAAATTTTGAAAATTATTTATTCTTGACAAATACCAGCTTTCAATATTTACCACAACTCAAAATCCTATTCTGAACACCAAAAGCTGAGCAGTGACTCCTTACTGCTCTTGGCACTGAATTGAATTACCACTAAATTGAATTGCCTTGCCTACAGTACAGGGGACTGGGAATTATGAAAAGTCCCAGAAATATAGATAACGAGCCGCGTCCTTTGATGAAAACAATGCCCTGAGATTGCCAGAAGGAGTCCTTCAACCTCTTCCAATGTGCATCTTATGGCTTCTACCATGTGACAAACAAGAGACAGGAAGTTAGTGGCATCAGGGAACTACCTCAATACTGTACAAAATCTGCAGAAAATTATACATTTATCTACAAATATGGCAGTGCAAGGTAACAAGCTTTTGACCAAAGTTATAACTCAGCACAGAAACACATAATTTTGATCCATTAAAACGTGGAAATATTATTATTTCTCAATAATAAGTAAGTTTTTAGAGATAAACTCTTTTTGGAACATGGAACCATGGGATAAAAATCTAGACATTTGTGGTGCTGGTTCCCAGGACAGCATTGCTACCTACCAATGTGGGATTCCAGAGATTCACTCATTTGCTCAGTTAGTAGACGTGTAGGATGTTCACTGTGTCTTAGACCCCATATATCTACATGCTGGGAACTCAGGGTAGTGGGGAGATGAGGACTGCTTATGTACTCTTAAGGTAGTCATCATATAAATGGTACTGATATTCAAGGTAGGCAAAGGAGAATCCAAACTGTCTAACAAGG